TGAAACCTCCTCCTGCTCCCACGTAGAACCTTGGGGCTCCATCCACTTCCTGGTCAGGAGGTCCGGTCTGGCTCCTCCCAGCTCCTCATGGCCCAGGCTGCCTTGTAGTCAGAACTCCCAGCAGCAGCTGGCAGCTGTCTTTTCCGGCTCTTACCAGGAGAGTCCTTTCCCTGTTCCCCACTTGCTTCGGCCTTCCATCCCACAAAGGAGCACTTGTAGTACTCATAGGAGCTGAGTCCTGGCCACCCCTCCCCGCTCCCCGCCTTCCCTTGACCCAGGGCCTGGCAGGCTACAGCTCTGCTCTCTGCTTTGCATCTCTGTACATGCTGTGTATCTCATTTTTGGGGCCTGACCTTGTCTTTAGGGTTTTCTCTTTTTACAGTGTATTTATCAACCATCACTCCATGTTTGGTCCACAGGGGCTCTGTTGCCATCTTAACTGACGTATACCTTAATTCTAATTGTGTGTACTCTATGTACCATAACTAGAACTTATATTTGAATTTGTAGGACATTTTCCATTTGAGGCTAATACAAACAAGAAGGCAATAAACCTTCTTAATGTACTCGTCTAATTTCTAACGCAAAGCTGCAAGATCAAAGGGTCCAGCCATGTTTTGATCTGATGCATGTTTCATTTCATATGTACCACCCAGCCATCGCCATCGCCATCACCACCAGTACACCATCACCAGCACCTGGCTTGTTGAACAGAACAAGGGAGGCCCTAGAAATAAACGAGACTGTGCTCTTGTACACCCCAACTTGGTATACACGGGTGAGGCATTCTTAGACCACTTCTTTCCCGTTCCTTGTTCTGGATTCCCAGCTCCTTCCCATGAATCGTTTTATTTAATCCCCATGACGTCCCTATAGGGTAGGGCCATGTTCTCTTCATTTTGCAGAGGAGGCGGCCAAGGCTCAGAGAGGTAAGATGACCACCTAAGCTTTCCCCTGTAGGAAGAGTTCACATGAAAGCTGAAGAGAAGATGAGGTGCTCCCCCTTTCACTGAGCTGCAGAAAGGAGGTTTTCCGGCCTTCTCTGATCCATGGGTTTAGGAATTTGGCCCCCTCCATGGGGCCACGGTATACTGCACTTGTGGACAACTCCTAGATGTCTGGGTTTAGGCACTCCAGGGCAGCCTCCACTCTGTGGGACAAGTGCTGGGTTTGCCACTTGGGCTCAGTCACTCACTCACTAGTTAAGAGATGGTGGGTTCCTCCTCATCCTCTCATTTCTCAGCAGAGGCAGCTGGGTACCGTGAGGACACACAGGCTCTGGATGCAGTTAGACTTGGATTTAAATACCAGCTCTGCTACCTTCCTGCTGCCTGGCCTTAAGCAAGCCACTTCCTCTCTCCGGGTCTCAGTTTCCACGTCTGTAGAGTGGAGACAAAAAAGCCTCCCTTGGAGGGGCGTTGTTAAGATGAAAGAAAGGTCAGTGTTCCTGGCAGATAACTGAGATTCAAATAGTCTGTTCCTGACAGTAAGGGTGAAGGGTCACGTAGCCAAGCCTGTTCAGCCAGTTGGCTGGGCCAACGCCTTGTCCTGACTCCATGTTCACTACTCTTTCCGATGCAAGTGTCCCACACCTTCTTAGTTACTTGTTTCGCTGTCCTTTAGTCCCACTGTGTTCCCTCCCGCCAAGAAGGAAGACGGATCCCAAGGAGCCTGAAGCTCTGGCCCGGTGCATGCTGCTTCAGCTGCCTTGGCAGGACCTCTGGTGGAGCCAAGCTGGTTGGGCTACCTGACATGAGCATGAGCCTGGGAAGCTCTACATGTGTCCCTGGACCCCACCACAGGTGTGAGCCCAGGTGTCTGGCTCTGCACGATGCCACACGCTGGGAGGGCTGGAAGGGCAAGATCACTGGAGAGTGGGGGCTGCTGCTGGGGTCTCCAGCCTGCCCGCTGCCTGGGCCTGTAGCCTGTAGGTAGGTCTCCCCTGCTCTCTTGAGGGCACTGCCAGCAGTCCGCTGGATGGCTGCAAAAGCAAGAATTGGCCCTTCCTCATCTGGCAGAAGTTGCGCTGCCTCCGGGAGGCAGTTAGGGTTTGGGTCTGCCTTGGGAATTCCTGAGGGTACCCAAAACACTTCAAAGTCATGAGCCTATCTTCCCCCTTTACCCTAGGAGAGAAGGACAGGGGGGCTATATTGCAACCACTCCACAGACAGGATGCTGAACCCAGCCTCGGGCCCGTGGTGGCTAAGTGGGGATCTTCCTTTGCTCTGTGTGTGGCACATGGAGATGTGGGTACAAATGTGAGGGAATAGGGTGCCAGTGAGCAGAGGTGAGGCTGTGGACACACAGAGCCCCAAATGACTACAGGTATCAGGTCTGAGTCAAAGATACTCAGTGCCTCAAGGGCACTGGTCTCAGGCCCTGCAGGCTTCCTTGGTAGAGCATGCCTCACGCCCACCAAGACTCTACGATGGCAAGTTTCTCTGACACCATCAGGGGGCTTCAGGCGCTAGGTAGGTGGCCTCTTCTGTGGATAAACCAAGTCTACTAAAGGGCAAGTTAGGGTCAGTGCTTTGCAGTAGCAACAGGGAGGATGATCAGGATCCCGGGGTGTTCCTAAAATACCTCCTTGTGTGGTCCCGGTCAGGGCACAGCAAAGGTTAATGGCGAACCACCACAACCACACCCATAAAGGACTCTCCAAGGACCCTGGCTCTTAGGCGTCCATAACTAGCTGAGGTGCTGGCTGAGGGCCAAGAGTAAACTTAAAATGGCTCAAGGGGGACAAAAATCATAAATACCAGCTTGACCAGTTGCAAAAAAAAAAAGACTGGTTTCAACTAAAGTGGCTATAATTACAATGAGAGAATAACAATGTTAGTTTCCACACGTATGTTTGTTGCAGCCCTATTTACAATAGCAAAAACATGAAACCAACTATGCTGCCCATCGAAGTTAAACTGGTTTTAAAAAATGGTACAGATACACAATGGAAGATTATGCAGCCATAAAGAAGGACAAACATGCACTTCACAGCAACTTGGATGCATTTAGAGTCTCTCTCATACACTGTGATCTATCACTGAAACAAAGAACTGAGTACCATATGTTCTCACTGATAAGGAGACCTTAAACAATTGTCATGATAGTATAAGAAGAGGATTGGCAGTATTGGGAAACTGCCAGGGGAGGGAGGGGCACACCTCATCAACAAAGGTACTTGCATAACCCACATTTGTATACCTAAACTTGATTTGTACCCCACATCTGTAAAATAAAAATGAAATTTAATAAAATGTCAGTTTTCATAAATTGAAAATTTTGACTTTACTTTTAATACTTGTAAAAATGCAGTAACAGTTTAAAAAAATCAAGCGATTTCATTATTTCAGGTGAAAAATCAAAAGCCTCCTTCCCCACTGCTTTTCCCAAGCCTCTGACCCCCCACCCAGAGGTAATCCTGCCATTAGGCATGTAGCCTTCTAGATATTGCTATACATTTGCATATAGTTTGGTTTGTAAAATTTTATTTTACACAAACACTGTATATATGGTCCTACACTATGCTTTATATCTTGAAGGTCCTTCCATATCAGGACATCCAACTTTTAACTGCTGCATAGCATTAGTTTCATACTACCAAAGGTCCCAGGGAGGGCTTCAGAGCATGCACTACTTGATATGGAGGTAGCTGCTACTCAAAATGCTCTCCAAAAATATGGCTATAGTTACTTGCATACCAGCTACATGAGTCTTCTTAATTCTTCTCTTCCTAACCCACACTAGATATTATGATGATATCTGATGGATGCAGTTATGTTTCACTGGTGTTTAATTTACAGGTCAGTGATTACCAGTGAGGTTTGAATCTTAACAATATCCAGGTTGTTGGAGATGTGGGAAAACAGCTCTGCTGATAGGAACATAAATGAGTACAATCACTATGGAAAGCAATTTGGCAATGTCTAATTTGGGTAAAGATGCTCAAACCCAAGGTCCTAGAAAATGTCATTTCCATATACTTACCCCTAGAAAAAAATCACACAAGTGCACAAAAAGACATCTTTTTGGTATGTTCATTGCCACAAAATGCTGGGAAGAACCTAAAAGTTCACCAATAGGGGAGTGGATAAGGTGTGGTATTTCGTACACAGCAGTTAAAATACACGAACTAGATTCACATGTATTGGAATGGTTAAGTCTCGAACACACTGTTGAGTAAAAAGCCAAGTTGCAAAATGATACATACATTCATTCTGTCAATTATGTCTATTTTAGAAACATTAATGCTCTATTTGATTATGGATATGCACACATATACGTATATACACATACACAAACACACACTCTTATATATGTCTAAAGACATAGCCAAGATGTAAACACCATTTTCTGGGTAGTGCTTACCTCTGTGGAGGAAGGAAGGTAAATATGAATATGATGGGGTTGAGGAACATCTCCTGTGTCTGAAAAACTTTATTGAAGAGAGACGGGGGAGAAAGGGGGAAGGATACCAGGAGAGGTGGCAGGGGGAGAGATTGGGAAAGATCTGAAACAAATATAGCCAAATGTTAAAACCAAATGTTCACTTTATTTAGGTGAGTACCTGTATTTTGCTATGACACTTGTCGGGCATATATTTTTCTATTCCATCTGTGTTACTGTGTTAAGCTATTAAATTGGCATACAGCTTTATTTTTCACCCATTCTGAGACTATGTTCTAAAGGTGATTTTAACTCATTCATCCTATACTCAGTTTGGATTTATTCCTCTTATTGTTTTGTATATTTGCCATGTTTTCTCATTGTTTATTTCCTTCCTTCTCTGCTTGACCTTTCCCCCCAAAGTGGTTGGACAATCATATACTTTATTCCTACCCTCAATTTTTTTGTTGCTGTTGTTGGAGTCAGCATTTCCAGTACAACAAAGTTTTTCTACCATTGAGAACACCAAAAAACTCTTCCTTTTGAAGTAAATCCAAGTGGTCAATTATAAAGTCACTTAGTATCACTGTTTCAGACAAAACCAAACAACCCCATTATACCATGTAAAACCAAAAGAATAACTTTAATAAACTTTTACAGCACTGCCATTACAGGAACATTAACCCATAACATGCAACAAAGATGATTTTGTCTTTTGGACATATTTAACAGATAAGCTTAACATTACAATTAACAGCAACATATTCCACTGAAGAAAACAAATACAACTTTTTCAGGTTAGAAAATGTTTTTACTGCAATCTCAAGTAGCATTTACAAACATTAGTTTTCCCTTTCTAACCACGAAAATTATGATTTTAATGCAACCATATACAACCATTTTCACATTGGAAATAATGAGGAATCAACAGATTTTAGACTGAGTGACTGATTGGTTTTGTTTTCATTGTTAATTTTGAGAGGGCTCCTGCAGTCAGGTGGGAAAATGAGAGCAGAAGCAAACAGCCTTGGTCTTTAGAGCTGGGGAGGGTACATGCAGCGGCACACAGGGCAGGTGCCCGACTTCTGAAGCCAGATGGACACACACGGCTTATGGAAATAGTGATGGCAGGGCAACTCAGTTGCCACCTCCCCCTTCACATACTCACTACAGCATATAGGGCAGCACATATCCTGACCAAGCACACCATGATCATCAGTGACTAGGATCTTAGGAAGAGCATCAATGCTCTCCTTGCTTGCTGGTGGATTGGCCACCTCCACATCTACTGCAAGAGATTCCAAGTGTTCAAGGGCAGTTTCCATTGCCTGAGTCAGACGCTCTTCAAGGGCCATGTAGGTGAGGAACTGAGGATCTACATAGGAAATGGCTTCAGCCACTCCTGGCCCATCTGCAAATCCATCAAAGAGGCTCCAATCCACATCTAGGTCTTCACTCACACTGGAATCATCTTCAACGTTGCTATTTCCATCTAGCATGAAGACTCCAGGATGCATCAACCCGGGACCAGAGTCATTATCTCCTTCACTGCTACTCTCATTGTCATTGTACTGGAGCCAAGGAATTTCTCCTTCTTCCAGGGATGCCTGGTCATCTTCCTGAAGAGGTGGTTCTCTAGCTTCCTCAAGATAATTGGGGCCAGTGCTGCCAGCACCGGCACCGGCAGTGGCACTGGTACTGGGGCTAAGGTTGGGCCTGGCACTCACCTGGGATTCCTGAGGTTCACGCTCTTCATTTCCTGACAAAGTCTCCCAGCTTTTGCTACTGGAGGACAGAGTTTCTTCCTGACTTCGATACTTCCTAAGCAGAGCAGTAACCCATCCTGTGTCACTGTCAGAGTCATCTTCAAAGAATCTGTAGTAATCATCACCGTAAGTCCAGAAGTCAGGGTTAGCCACGGTGCGTCGACGCCTTGGCACCTTTTCTGGTTTCATTTGGCCACTCCTCTCTTCCCTCTTGTCTTCAGGATGCTTTGACTCAGAAAAGCCACTCGAACTCCTGCGTCGCCCTCTTCTTGTTGGGCCATTCGAGTGGCCTTCATCCCCGTAGGCGGTCTCCCTCCACCTGGAAGTACTGTGTGGCGTGTCATCATCATCATCATCTTCATCATCGGTATCAAGAAATGGTTTTGGTTTTATGAAGTTTGGATTGCCCAGATTTCGAATTCTGGGCCTTACCACTGGTTCCTCTGTGCTGTTTGAGATGCTTTCCCCACGATAAATTTTCACAGAAGCCCTGCTGGAAGGCACTGGTAACTTCTGCTCTCCTCTCTCCTTCTCTAAGCGGTTACTGTTTGTAGCTACATTGTGTTTACCAGAAGAAGACTGAGAGGCCACGCCATTTTGTGGCAGGGACTCAGTTCTGCTAGAAGACCACCTTGATGCAGGGGCTGGGTCTAACTTGTCATGCTCCTCTCTCACATCACTATTAAAACGAAAGGACTGTGGAGGCACTCCAGCCAAAGACCTTGCCCCTTTCTCTGACTCGTACAACTTACCATCTTTGCCAGTTTTCCCTCTCTCTGGAGGTCCCTCAACAGGCCCAGTCCCCTCCTCCTGGCTGTCGTCTGCCCCATAAGAGTCAGCATGTCCATAGGCCATTGCTCTTCTGCGACCTGAAGCCCTATACTCTCTTGGTGGATACCTGGAATAGGCCTCATTATCAATATTCAGACTGGTTCCGGAACTCTCACTGTCATCCCACCTACGACGAGTGGTAGAAAATGGTGATCGGCTTCTCTTGGTGGTTTGACTGGGGGCTGATCTGTGTACTGGGATATCAGATGTTGTCTTTCCCTGGCTGGCAACGCGTTCCTGCTGACTCGTGGATGGCCTGGAACTGACATAGGCATGCCTTCTTCCATACATCCTGCCTGAACTGGACTGATACCCTCCTGCTGGTTTGGGCAATTCAGGCTTGCTAGCTTCCTGACCCATTGCTCTGACTTAGGAGGGTTTCCAATACAGCTGGGGCTCAAGCTCCTGCTCCCTGTACACGTTTTCAGAGATGGGAAAGTCAAATCAGTTCAGGATAAAGGAGTACTTCATCAGACGGGTAACAGAAAGAATTAGGGGCCTTTAAAATTAATTTCGCTTTCTTCAAGGGCCTGGAGTAGCATTCCAGTGACGGTCAGGTGTAGATCTGGAACACATTTTTAATGTTGGCAAAATGAATACAAGAGTGAGTCTGCAGGAAAACCAGACTTACGGGAGACTCTGACAGAAGCTAGGGGTGACTAGACACTGGGAGAGTGGGTGAAGTGCTGTGGGATGGTGCCAATTGAGAAAAAAAGACTGCTGTGAACTTTTTGTGAGGTGTCTGCACTTTTCTGAGCCCTGCACAAACAGAAGAAATGCAAACTGGAATAGAGTGAAAAATGTAGATCAGTGAGTATGTGAGTGTGTGTGTGTGTGTGTGTGTGTGTGACAGAGAGAGAGAGAGAGAGAGAGAGAGAGAGAGAGAGAGAGCGAGCGCGCGAGCGCGCACGCAAGAGAGAGCCTAGGTGTCTGTCAGGAGCAGAGGGACTGGCTGGTGGAAGGGGACCAGCAATCCTGCAACAAAGAGATGTCTATGTTTTTAAGAGAAAGGGTTAGAGTGTTTGAATGAGATCCATTCTGGACGCGGGTGTGGAAACGACAAGTGTGAGTGGAGTGGCTTTGGAGGATAAAGGTCTAAGTATGAAAGAAAGAGAGTGTGTGTGTGTAGTTACATATGTGGCAGCTGGAACTACGGAGGGATGCTTGTGCTATGCATATGTTGTAGGCCGGGAAGGGTATGGTGGCAATGGAGAGGAGTGTCCAAGAGAGAGGGTGTGGTGTAGTGGTGTAGTGGTGTAGTGGTGTGTGTGTGTGTGTGTGTGTGTGTGTGTGTGTGTGTGTGAGAAAATGGGAGGCAACAATAGAGAAATGTCAGAGTGAGCAAATGCAGCAGGCACCAATGGGGGAGGGGGGAGGCACTGGTGAGGGATGTGTGTGACGAATGGAACAGAGGCCTGGAATCAAAGAATGTCTGCGTGTGAGTACGGCAAGCAGGGAGGGGGGTGGTGTCCCCGGAGAAGGATGTATGTGAGTGTGAGTGTGTGCACCGTGGGGACCAGCAAAGCGTTGTCTCTGACACATGTGGCAGACAGACAGCAGGAGAGGAGAGCATTTGAGAAGGGGGTGTGAACAAGTGCCTGTGGCTGTGTATGTATGCCAGAGGCCAGCAAGAGAAGGATGCTCTTATGAGTGTATGTGGCAGGCAGGGAGAAGGAGGGCGAAGGAAGGCAACCGGAGGGGGTGTGCGCGCATGTTCTTACGGTGGTGGGCGGGTCGGGGGAAGGCACTTGAGGGCATGAGGCCGTGTGTGTGTGTGTGTGTGTGTGTGTGTGTGTGTGTGTG